GATGCCAAGAGATGGAGCTAGGAACAGATCCTTGAAGGTCCCTGAAGAACTTGATATTGAGGGCATTGAGAAGGCTTTATCTTATTTTACCTTATTTTAATGGGGGGAAGCGTGACATGATCTGATTCATGATAGGAGAAGTGTGCTATCTGTGTCTGAACAGTTCTGAACTTCATAGCTCACCTTCCAACTTCCAGCTGCTATATTGCTTTGTCTGGGGGCTTTCTCCTCCAGGGAATCCATAACTCCAGCCCTCAACCAAAGATTGGTGGGATATTTGGCTATAAATACCTTGAGTCCCTCACCTCTTGGTGCACTAAGAGCATGTATTTTATACTGTTTCTCAGAAATTTTCTTGTGGAACTAAGCCTGAGTCACCTGCATGGTGACCTGCTTGATAGCATGCCCTTTACTGGCTGCCTGTCCTTCCATTTCACTTCCCATGTTCCTTCAGGTATTTCCTGAGATCATCTCCCAGATAAAAGACCTCACCAGAATCCTGGACTGAGGGTCTGCCTGGGGGATGTCTTCTGTAAGGAGACTGGATTGGAGGGGACATAAGTGGAGGCAGGGAGACAAATCAAGGGGCTGTCAGGATAGTCCGGGTAAGAAAAGATGATGACCTGGGCCAGGATGGTGGCAGGTAAAGCTTCCTGGATCTCAACTCTTGGGGATGTGAAGGCCCTTCATAAGCAGAAGTTACAGAAAGACTTTTATGAGCCAACATCACGAACTCCCAGTCTGTCTGAATTCTCCACATCTCACCCACCACATAGCCAATCACACGCCCTCTAAGAGGAAGCACCATGTGAAGAAAGAGGCCCCTTTAAAAGAGAAAAAACAGAAATGTGCCTAACCCCCCCCCCCAGCACTTCCTGCTCTCACTCTGACCTCTGGGTCAAAGACCCAACTCCTCTCAGGTTGGATTTGACTTACAGTGAATGTGATGGTCATTAGCTCTTCTTGCCCATGCCTTGGCTGTGTCATCATCACTGTCAAGAGGAGAGGGACTTTCTACCTTTTACCAGAGTGAATGCAACTCTGGTTATAGGTGGCTTGTGACATTAAGCTGTTTCATGAGCCCTATCCAACAAACACACATACACACTCTCCCACCCATTTTGTCCCTCTGAGTAGTACCAGCTTCTCACTGATCTATCAAGAAGTAGTGGACTCTCTCTTGGTCCTACTTCTTCCTATGATACAGCCTGGATTGGGGGGGTGTGGAGATACCTACTCACAATTAGTACTTTATCTTTCGTAGAGAAACCAGTTTATTAACTGAGAGCACCATCCTGGTCATATTGTCCTGCCAAAAATTGTTCTTGACTTATTCATTATGAGTTGCAGATGCTGTTAGTACCCCACCCCTATTCCCCTGGCACTCACTGTTCCTGTACATACCAATGGCTTTCTACAAGTGCTGCAGCTCTCTGCCTTAGCCCCTTTCTGGCTGAAGGATCTGGTTTGGCTGGCAAGCACATGGGCCAGGCTACCAGTGCCAGGAGGCCAACGCCCTCATGAGCAGTCTCAACCACTGACAGTTGGGAGCTAGCGGGTAAATAACCCAGCTTTCGCCCTCAGGTGAGATAACTCTGGTGTATGTCCTACACACTCCCTCAAAGGTCTCAGGAGGACTGAGCTCCCCTTGCCCACAACAGTGTTTGGGCATCATACGGAGTATATGTGGGTGTATGGTTCAGGTTAATGATATGCATGTGTGGGTGGCTGTGACATACGTGGGCACATAAGGCTCATGTATAAGTGTGCAATGTGTGTGTTTGGGTGTATGTAACTGATTTCGTTATTGCCCCACAAATATTTGCTCCTCTCCCCCTTCCAATCTGAGCAAACTGTACTTCCCCTTCCTGGCACTTGCTTTGGCCAATGAATACTAGCAGTGACATTGGTAGAGGCCTTAAATGTGCTTTAGCAGTTTGGTTGAGCTCTTGGGCTTCTTCCATTTCCTGTGAGAAGAGTTTGTCCTGGATACTCCTGCCCCTTCACCCTGGGCTCCAGAATGAAAAACCAAAGGCAGACCTGAACCCAAATCACAGCGTGGAGCTAAGCTCGGTTGAGTCCAACTGATCCACAGACCCTGGAGCGAGAAATAAAGAACTGGTATTTTAAGCTACTGAGCTTCAGAGAGGTTTGTTAGCATTTCAGCTCACTAACAAGGTGTTAGATGGGATTTGCAAAGCATAGGATAAGATTTGCGGGGAGTACAAAGAAGGTGTATGTGTGTAGTGCTTGTGTATTTTGTGTTGGGGAAATGGTATTTGTGATACACAAACACAATAGAGCAAAGGTTCATATTGGATAACACAAAGCAAATGAGCAAGCATAGCACAGAGTGAGCTGTATACAAACTGAGTTTGTACTCAGTCCTAGTCAGAAGACACCTTGGGTTCCTGGCTGGGAAACCCACATCCTGAAACCTCGCCTCACTGTGACTTACTAGTGGCTTCTAGGAAGGCAGCATCAGCCAGACAGGGGTGTTTGACTTCACTGGTGTTCAGCAAACAAGAAAGAGGTGGCACAAGGCCAGCCAAGTAGTGTCTGACCACACACCCAACCTGCGTGTGCCTTGGCTGCTGAGGCTTCTGTCCCCACAAGAGCTTGGTAACTGAGGAAGAGTCCCACACAGCAACTCTGGGGGATGGACAGAGGGGCCCTGTGTGAAGCAGAAAACTGCAGTGTGCACATCAGCTAGACTGGGACTTTGCAAGGAAATGCATCCATTCCTAAGGCTTCAAGGCATCCCTACAAGAGTCCCCATTTCCTGACTCATTCATGACCAACTGAATAGTAACTCTGTGATTAAGAGGTGAGCTCTGAAGTCAGACCAAGGCTTTATCTCAGTTCCAGCAGCCACGACCTTGGGCAAGTAATTTAACCCCTCTGGATCTTAATTTCTCAACTTTAAAATGGGGATAAATACCGTATCTCACTTGTAAGTTTGTCATGAGGATTGGATGAGTTAATTCCTATAAAGTTTTGGGGACTGTGCCTGCATATTATTGTGCATGTGCTACCCTCCGAGTAATCAGGGCTCACTCTTAGTAAGGGACTCTGAAAGACACATACGACATGCACTAATCTAGCCAGAAACCAGGGCTTTTATATACTGGCTCCCATCAGTCACCGGAGGCTGCTCCTGCAAGTAGATAACCAGCCTTCTCTGTTTGCCCAGGAGTGTAAGTCTGAGAAACTTTTTCCCAAGCTGGGTGGTTGGTCACACTACCTGGAGAGCATTAGTTCCCCAGCACCCAGCCTGTCACAGGTCACTCAGAGAAAGCCCACAGATGCATGCACTGGCCATTAGAAGCTACCACACATTATAATGGTCAGACCCAAGGGGGTGAGGGCAGGACATCCAGTCCCATTTTAGATGTAAGAAAAGTGAATCTCCAAGAGGCAAAGGAATCTTCTCAGAGTCATACAGCAGGAAGAGGTCTGGGAGATACCAAAGCCCATGCTGACCACTAGGCTCTACACTCCTCTTTCCAGAAAACTGCCTTTGTGGACACAGACTGGAGGAGCTGGAAGTACCTCAGGGGACCGGCTAGCCCGCTAACTGGAAACAAACATCCACCTGCTGACAGGTAGCATTCATGGTTCTGGGGATGGGGCAGCAGGTGGATGTTAGAAAATAAGGAGATAGAGGATATTCCCCAAAAGAGAGCATGGCAGCCTCTGAATCAGACATGACTACTCAGCCTAGGCTGATGACTGCCATATGGGAATGGATGCCCAATGTTATTCAACCATCCAATGTTTCAAAGGAAGCTAGATTTTTATGGGAAATATCCAAACTATTACATGTTGTCTAAGAATCGTCTAAAAACACATTGTGAACCAACCCTGTATGGACCGAATACAGTATATCAGTCTGTGGCTGCCTGAATCCTGTCTTGTGGCTCATCCACTCACCCTAGTTGGTGAATCTAAGGGCTCCTCTTGGTGTCTTTCCTCAATAAGCATCCCCCCAGGAATGGGGGCTGGCTCAGTCTGCACTTAGTACACACACCCACCCATTTTGAGCTTGTTTCCCCCTTTTTTTGGTCTTTATGCCTTTCTGGACACCTTTGCACACATGCCTCCATGGCTGACATCCAGTGCACAGGTCCCAGAACAAACACACTGTTTAGTTAGTCAACAGCCAATGCTTGCAGCCCCCAGTTAACCCTGTGCCCTGCCTGCCCAGTCCTTTTCTGGGATCCCCAGAAACTTCAGGGTTAACTTCTTGCACATCAGGGACCTCAGCTGGCTTTGTGGCTGAATTCTTCTCATTTTCCAGTGTCCAAAAATCATCTCTTTATCTTCCTGAGTCTTTCCTTCTTACCACACTTGCTTTCTTTTTAAAATTAGGTACCCATCCTGAATCCTTGTTGATTCAAGGATAAAATGTTATCCACAGTGATGTGCTGATAAATGTTTAATAACTACCTCTTGGAAATAGTGGGGAGTCCTGATTTGCAGCATTTGCTGACTCCCATGGTGTAAATACTGCCACCCTGGGCCAATTTCAAGTTACCAATATGACTGAATAAGGAGTTGACAGGAGATGTGCAATAGCTCATCATTATATAATATTTATTATGTAAATGCAAGTAACCTAAAAAGCACAGATAATAGTGAAATCATTAGGAATTAATGAATTCTGAGTATTTATTACTTTTTTTCTAATATAACATATTATAATATTAGCTGATTTTATTCCACTTTTAATAATATCTGTGTTTTTCAACTGGGTCACAATATTCCTGAAAATTTTGGCAATCAGCTCTTGTAAGTCCATCTGAGGTGGTTCTAGCACACCACTGGATGGATAAACACGAGGCAGAAAAATAACAAAAACAGGTATTTGGTGGTCAAAAGACAAGGATTGGAGGGGGAGTCACCAACTATCCTCAGGAGGGCAATTCCCCAGTCCCAGGTTCATCCCCAACCCCATACTTCCACTGCTCTCCACCTTCCCCTTGTCCAGCTCCGCCTACCTGCAGCAGGAAGTCGAAGAGCGCCAGGCGTGCCCACTCAGTGTAGTGGATGCCCAGGCAGGAGGCCTGGCTTGGCCAGCTGCAGCCACGTGCCAACAAGGCCTGGTACTGCAGCCAGCCCAAGGACAGAGAGTTCTGGTCCTCTTCTGGGTCCCCCAGGTGCTGCACATCAGGCGCCCACCAGATGACAGGCCTTGTGCTACCATCTGTGTATCGGTAGGGCAGCAGGGAACTGTGGAACTTTCGGGCCACAGCAGGCAGGCTCCGGCGCAGCCCCAGCACACGGTCTACATGGAAGGACAGGACCTCATGCAGGTCCCCAGGCCTCTTGATCAGGCCACAGAGCCCCTGGGAGCAGAGATGGCTGAGCCCAGAAGACATGTTCTGAAGAGCACCCTCACTGGAGAAGGCAACCTGCAGCACCTGCCCATGGCCAGGAATCCTGGTTTTGCCCACCACCTCTCCCTTGGCCAATAGCTGGAACATTTGCACATCGTGCTCTGTGAACCATGGGGGAAACTGCCCACTGGTCCTCAAGCTGGTCAACATTCCAGGGCTCTCCGCATCACACCAGACAGATCCTTGCAGCTCCCCAACAGAGCCAGGCCACCGATGAGCCTCTGCAGTTGGGGTGGGATGCCCTGCTTGTGGCCTACCAGTCACAGCTCTGTTCCTAGCTCCTGGCAGATTCCTGCCTTCCACTGGGCGGGGCCGGAGAGTTAGTCCAGCAGCAGCTCTCCAAGCCTGTAAAGCTGTCATGTCAGGTCCTGTGAGGGGGCCAACCAGGGTGCCAGTGTCATTCTGTGCCTCTCCGATAGGATCATCATGCCAGGGAGGACCCAAGTCTTTGGTTCCTGGACTCCTGACCTCATCCTCCCTCAGGAGCACAAGACGTGAAGTACTGAGTCTCAAATCTCCTAGAGAGGCCAAAGTAATGTCCCTCCTGACCCTCCCTGGATGCCTACTGTCCCCTCCTAGGGACTTCCTGCTTCTGTCCACTGTCCCTCTGTGGCCTTGCTCCTCAGCACACATTGGGATGGAATTCCTGGGCAAGGCCCAGCCTTTCCAGAACCCTAGGTCTCTTGCTTGCTGCCTCCAGCTGGAGCTCAGAGCCTGCCGATTGTGGGGGCCAGGGGCTTCCATGATCTCCTGGAGCTTCATGGGACCAGAGTCTGGGCCAGTAGCTGGATGCTGCGGGGGGAAGCGGGTGACAGTCACCATAGACAGAGTCATCAAGAGGCAGAATGCCATCACCAACCGCTTCTTGCCACGTAGTTTTCTCCAGAGCCAAGACGCCTGGGGGACAAGATAGAAAAAGAAAGTTTGAGACCTGGGAAAAATGTCAGACCCAATCCACAAAACAACTGGGACAGTGAATGAACATCTGGGGTGTATACAGAGAGAAGAGATGGTGGAATGCACCTAGCTGCCTTCAAGTCTGGGCAACCACAGCTAACTATGCTCCTGCTTCAAAGCTGAGCTTTGCCTTCCAGGGGAGCCTTTGCTGATACTTGCAGTTCAGCCTGGGTTTCTTCCCCTTGAATAAACCGCCATTATGACACTTGTCACCAGACACCATAGGCATCCCTTTAACATCTGTCCCTCATCACTGAATGCTGGCCATTCTCTTTTCATCCCCATGTGAGTTCTAGGGCCCTCTCTGTGGATCTCTAATTGTCTCCCACAAGCACGCTTTTCCATTTTCCAGGGCACAAGGCTCTCAGCTACAGATGACCTTGCCCAGTTCCTCTTGCAGCCAGGTGTGGCCATGTGACTAAGTCTGTGCCTGGGCACTTTTGTCTGCCCCACTTGCTCAAGTGGAAGCTGGATGCCCTGGCCTTTCTTAGCACACAGATGTGGTAGCACCAGCTCCACATGTGTTGGCAAGGGCACGCTCTGGGGCAGTGACTTTTAAACATGTTGTGCCTAGATCAGTAGCATCAGTATCACCTGAGAGTCTGTCAGAAAAGCAGATTTTTAGGCCTCACCTCTTTACACCTGACTATAAGGTGCTTATGCAGCTGTGAGACCCAATCTTGAACACCCTGCTTGAAGTAGGGCAGAGGGATAGGCAGACAGAAACAGTATGCTGAATAGCATACTTCGTGGAGCCCCAGCATCCCCACCCCTCCACTCCTGTCAAGGCCCCCAGGGCCACAGGGCAGGGAGACAAAGCCTAGAGAAGATCTTCCTCGTAAATGTGGGCTCTGAAAACTTGGGTTTCATCTGGAAAAGATATTCTTTGTTTCTCAACTATTACTAATGAGTAGCAAGTTTCTTCCTTCTCCCACCTTTTCCCTGATTCCCCTTCCAAATTTGTATATTTTTATCATTTTTATATTGTTAGGATATAAAGTTTTATACATTCTAGCCCATTAGTCCAATGCTCACATTTGTTTAGGTCTTGGTTCTTCAGTGAAGTACATTCTTTGCATATTCCTGTCCCTTTTGCCCTAGTTTTTCATTATTTCTTGGTTGACTGAAGCCAAAAATGCATAATTTTCTCAAGAAGTACGCATGGGAACAGAATTCTCTGAGTTCCTGCATGTTCAAAACTATTTTTCCGTAGCATTCATACCTGAAGGGAAGTTTGGCTGAAAGAAAATATTTTGGCACGGCTTCTTTCTCTGACTCACTTGTGGATCCTGCTCCACTGAATAGATGGGACTTTTTACCCTGCCTAGTTGCCGTAAGAATTCTTTCTTTTTCTTTACATTCTTTATCCAGCTTTATTGAAGTATAATTGACAGATTAAATTGTATACATTTGAAGTATACAATGTGATGATTTGATATGTGTATACCTTATGAAATGATCACCACAATCAAGTTATTTAGCACACCTATCACCTCACGTAGTTACCTTTATGTATGTGTTGAGAATGCTTAAGATCTACTCTGCAAATTTCAAGTATACAATATGGTATTATTAACTACAGTCACCTGCTGTACATTAGATCCTCAGAACTTATTCACCTAATAACTGAAAGTCTATATATTCTTTGACCAACATCTCCCCATTCCCCCTGCCCCCTCCTAGGCCCTGGCAACCACCATTCTACTCTCTGTTTCTATGAGCTAGACATTCTTTTTTTTAGATTCCACATACAAATGCTACCATATAATACCAGATAGTATTTCTCTGTTTGCTTTATTTCACTTAGCATAATGTCCTCATGGTTCATCCATGTTGTCACAGATGGCAGGATTTCCTTCTCTTTTTTTATGGCTGAATCTATCATGCTATTGATATATGTATATATATATATATATACACACACATGTGTATACAAATTTTATATATATGTATACAAATACATATATAAATACACTGATACATATACACAAATATATATATTTATCCATTCATCTATCAGTGGACACTTACATTGTTTTAATATCCTGGTTATTTTGAATAATGCTGCAATGAGCATAGAAGTGCAGACATTTCTTCGAGACACTGATTTTTCATTTCTTTCAAATAAATACCCACAAGTGAGATTGCTGGATCACTTGATAGTTCTATCTTCTAGTTTTTTAAGGGACCTCTATTCTGTTTTCTGTAGTGGCTCCACCAATTTACATCCCCACAAACAGTGCATAAGGGTTCCCTCTTCTCCACATCCTTGCCAACACTTGTTATCTCTAGTCTCTTTGATATGAGCCATTTTGACAGGTTTGAGGTAATCTTGTTTTCTCTGAAGTCCAATGATGTTATAGAATATATCTCAGTGTTGACTTTCCTGGGTCAATTTTTCTGGGCATACCTTGTTAGAATACCTTATTTAAATATTTTATTTCACCAAAGTTTTCTTAGACTAAATATTAAATATTTTCCATTCCACTGTTTTATTTGTTCTTTAGGCTCTTGAATTACATGTGTTGGGTGTCTTATCTGCCCTGTGTATATCTTTCATCTTCTCTCTAATCCTTTCTAACCATTTTTATTTGCTCATTTTGCTTATTTTTATATTCTACTTGGCAGATTGTTTTCCCCAATATTCATTCACCTTTGTGTACTTTCTCATTTCTACCAAATTCCTCTTAATTTCTACTTTTCCCTATTTCTTTCCAGCTCGTATTTCACCTCTTCTGGCTATGTTACCATTTTTTTTCTTGAGTTCTTGCATTTCTCTTTGTTGGTGCTCCTTCATAGAGGGTCTTTTTTCATTAAACTTTAAAAATTCATAGTAATGTGTGGGAAATATCAGAAAGGGAGACAGAACATAAAGACTCCTAACTCTGGGAAACGAACTAGGGGTGGTGGAGGGGGAGGAGGGCGGGGGGTGGGGGTGAATGGGTGACAGGCACTGAGGGGGGCACTTGATGGGATGAGCACTGGGTGTTATTCTGTATGTTGGTAAATTGAACACCAATAAAAAATAAATTTATTATAAAAAATTCATAATTCATAGTGAAGCGACTGCTCAAAATTTTCACCTACTTCAAAGGGTGACTGACCTTCATCTGTTCATAAACTCTGCTGTTCATTGTTCCTTTTTTTCTTAGAGTGTCTCTTTGTGGATACTCAACTCCTTTTATGAGTTAGATGAGTCAATTGAACGAGGTTCCTATAGAAGGGCCTGAGTTGCATTTGAAATAGTGGCCAGGCTGCTTCCTGCAAATCTGGCTTGTGAGCAGGTTCTCCATGTATCCTCTCTTCTGCCTCAAAAAGAGGAAAAGGAATTTGCATTTTGTCTTCCATTCTCTTTGTTGCTTTCAGATGGTTTCCAGGAGACAGTGGCAAGAATGCAGAGTTCTTTCTATGTAGCCATGTTCATAGAAATAGGCCTTAGTGGCACATTTTTAAGAAGAAAGGAACATGCCCTTACAGAATGCAGTGACTAGGCCAGGCCACAAAACAACCAACTTTTTCCAACTTCTGTGGTCTGGAGCCACAACCCCCAAACAGTTCTGGGAAGTCCAAGAGTGCTCCCTCTGTACATTTTCAGAAGATCTATTCACTAGCTTTGTGGGAATTGAGTGCAGCCTCCAGGTATGCTGGCCACTTAACACTCCCAAGAGACAGACCACCCTTAAAGAGTGTCATGGAGCAGGAAGAGTGGTGGCCCACCAATCAGAGTGAGATTTCTAGGAATCAGAGAGAGGGCAACGGATAACTAGATCCACCCGACACTCTCTACTTTATCTAATTTCTCACCATTTCCCTCACCTCTACACATGCTCCTCTTTCTATTTCCAATCCACTGAAAGGTAGCACCATCTACCCACATATCCAAGCCAGAAATCTGGACCTGATCTTCATTTCACCCTTCCCTCTGCCCCATACACCCAAGTCTTACAAATTTTTCCTCCCAAACATCTCTGGAATCCATTTATTTCTCATTAGTCACTCTGTGTCTACTTAGGCTGAAGTGCCTCCTTCTCTACTAGACACCTAACTGGTCTCTTCCTCTAGTCCCTGCTCCTCTACAATCCACTCAACACACACAGGATCATATCCCTCAAAGCCTCTTTGGAGAAAGTCTAAATGCCTGAAGTGCTTGAGCCATACTGATCTTTTAATTCCTGGACAGAACCAGACCCTCTCCACTTCCCATATGCTGTTCCCTCTGCCTGGAACATTCCTTTCCCCCTATTCTTATTCTTTAGGTCTTCCCCAGGAAGCCTTCCACAGAGGCCCCTCAATGGGCTGGATGCTCTAGCTATGTGCTCCTACAACACGCTGCTTCTCCCTGAGCATGATCTTTCACGCTTTACTATATGATCATTTAAAGTCTGTTGATTCACACAGGTGGGATACTGGCTCACTTGCTGCTGTGTCTTGGAACTATCTCAGTGCCTGCCACACAGAAAGCTCTGTATGAAACAAGCTGTTAGATAAGAGGGATTTTCAGAAAGGGACCAACACTGTTCCCTGGCCTAAGGCACTGCAAGTCTGCTTGTGAGAAGGCTCCTCCAGTTCTGGGATTCTTGCCTGTTGAGGTTGCAGGAGCTTTCTCTGATGCTTTTTGTGCTCCATGTTTGGTCCTTTTGGCCCCCAACTGATTCTAGCTGCCCCCACAGTGGACAGTCCCCTGCACACTGCCAGCTTCACACCTAAAGTGCTTGATTCACTCTTTACTTTCTTGCCTGCTCTGCAGGGAGGCACAGGGGAAGTCAATACCTTTGGTGACTACCCTCAGCCCAAAGGGGACAAAAGTCAGTGGTAAATGCTAAATGCTCAGTCACCATCCTGCAGAGGGACAATTCTGAGAAGTGTAGAAATGAGCCTCCCTTCTATAAAACAGATGATTCTTACCACCCCCTACGATGTCTTTACCTGATAATCCTTTT